CTTTCTGTTCTGCCTGTTTCCTGTCATACCTCCCTGCCATGATGGACTCTTATCCATCTGGAACTGGAAGTGAAATAATTCCTTCTATAAGTTGCCATGGTGTTTTATCACAGCTACAGGAAAGTAACTAATAAAGTTATTCATGGTGTTTGTGTTTTGTGATGGGGCATAGGCATCTGGAGTTCTGTCACTGGCAGTGTTTCTTGGCATGAAGAGTCGATTGCACCTTTTTGAATGGGGATTTGGATCTTTGCAGTTATTCCAACTTGTGAGGTTGTAACCCAACTAAATGGTGCTTGGTATTCAGTCTTGTGGACACTTCGTGTTGATGTGGGAATGGGGTGTAAAAACTGGTCTCAGTTCAGCTAGGGATAGGTGCAACTTCTGAGCCTGAGGTTCCAGGACAGATTCCACTTGGTCCTGGCTTGGCGGGATGTACTGGATGGCTGCTAGGTGAGCATGCTGGCAGATAGATGGTTGTTGTTTTTTATTGGAGGGGTGGCATGAGTGATCTCAATTCAGTGGTAACCAAGAATGCATTCACATGTAACTATGCTGGGTCTGTGTGTGGTAATATACAAGCTCCACAACCCCAGCTAGGCCTGAGAGTATGGGGATGGCCACAAGGGCAGACCAGTTTCTGTAGAACTGACAAAGCTATGCTGGTATGAAAGCTGTGGGGCCTGATTTAGGTCCTCGGGACTGGCATGGTGGGAAGAAAGCACTGGGGCTGGCACACTTTCAGATATGGTGATCATAATAAATAACACCATATTGTTTACTTGAAATTAAATAGGAGATTTAAGTGTCCTTACCTCCCCCAACACACACACACACACACACACACACACACACACACACGCCAATTGGTAAGGAACATGCTAATTTGGCAACAGTAATTATGACACACTATATATAAGATCATCATATTATACACTTTTAACCTATACAGTTTTGCTTATATATTTTTAATTAAAAAGAATCATAACTGACAGTTTGTAAAATGAAAATAAACTGAGGTATTGCCTTTATTAGTATAAAATATACGATTACATTTCACAACATCAATTTGCTGAAAAAATTTTTTTTTTTTTTTTTTTTTTGGTCTTTTTGAGACGGGGTCTCCCTGTAGCCCCAGCTGTCCTGGAACTCACTATGTAGACCAGGCTGGCCTTGAACTCACAGAGATCTGCCTGCCTCTGCCTCCCAAGTGCTGGGACTAAAGGCATGTGCCATCTTTTAACCTCCCAAGTGCTGGGACTAAAGGCATGTGCCATCTTTTAATTCCCTCAACCTGATAAAAAGCATCTATGGAAAATGCATGTGTCATTCCTAGTGTGGGAGAATGTACCTGCCTATAACACCAAATTATCCCCTGGGAGGCCCATGCGGTCCTAATGCTCATGGGCCCTTCCCCCCCACATCTCTGAGCTTTTGAGACCCGCTGCCTCCAGTGCACTGTCAGCACACAGCCAGCACCTGGAGCTCCAGCCTGGCCAAGATGGCGACCTTCTGCTGCTTCCCAGCTTCCTCAGTGTCTGTCCTTAGGCTGGCCCCTTCTGCCTACAGAGTCTCTCGGAGGACATGCCTACCCAACACTCCACCCCTTCGTCTGGCTCTCACAATCTTTCCCCGAATCTTCCGCAAGAATCCCTGAGCCCTGAAGGGGGTGACAGATGCAGGATGATCTTTCCTTTATTATGACAAGATATCGAACTCCTGGGCCTCCCCATCATCTAGTTTCAAGTGGCTGTTGACCCAACTCAGTGGTGACCCCCCTACTATAAAGACAAATGACAAAAGTAAGCACATCTAAACAAACATGTGTGTAAATACAAATGCTTAGAAGATACTTCAGCAGGTGTATCATATTTATCCAACAGAATACTTGTAGGCTTCCCCACTGGGGCTTACAGCCTTCCCTGACACGGGGTTGGCCTGGTCTACAGCACCAGATGTGTTTTCCACCCCTAGAAGTGGGCCTTATCCAAACAGAAATTTGTTGGTTGTATATATGTTAATAGAGACATTTTAGCACCAGCAGACATTGCTTGGCATGTCAATAGTGTGCAGCATGTGGGGTCCATCGTTGAGCACAACAGTATAAAGTAATAAAATATTTAAGACTAATTTAACAAAAGGATATATTAAAACTATAAAATATTATTGAAATAAGTTAGAAAAGATTAAATAAATTAAAACACAGCCCATCTTTGAAGATTAAAAGACTTAGTATTAACTAAATGATAAGACTCCCCAAATGGATCTTCAAGTTTAGTGAAATCCTATCAAAAGTCTTCCTCCATTTTATGAAATTGACAAGCTGACCCTATAATTTATATAGAATTCCACCAAAGGTCCAGAATAGCCAGAACAGAACAATCACAAAAATAAAGAATAACTCTGCTGGATTAATGCTTTTTACTTTAAATATCACCATTAATAAAGTAAAAAGACAACCCACAGTTGCCACAAAATATCTGTAAGTAATTTATCTGATTAGAGACTTCTGTCCAAGATCACTAAAGAACACTTCTTAGAATTCAGTGATTAAAAAAAAAAAGATAAGTAGCCCAATTATTTAAATTGATCAAACATCCAAATATACATCTCCAAAGAAGATATATAAATGGCCAAAAATTGTGAAAAGTTGTCTGACAACTTAGATAAGATATTAGAAAAATGCAAGCCGCATCACAGCAAGAGAGTACAGGACAGATAGCATGAAGTGTTCCTAAGAACAGAGAGAAATGAGAACCTTCAGATACTGGCAAAAGAAATATAACCACCTTGAAAAATAATTTGTCATTTCTTCAAAATGCTAACCCATTACCGTTTGACCCAGAAATTCCACTTCTAGTTAACCTACCCAAGAAAAATGAAAACACTTTTCTAAACAAAATTTGCAAATGAATTTTTATAGCATCACTACTAATATCCATCCCCACAATAGAAACAATCAAACTTCTATCATACTGATGAGGAAACAAACACAATGTGGTAAAATCATAAGATGAAATATTATTCATCAGTGAAAAGGAACAAAGTATGGAATATGAATGACACGAGACCATCAAGCTGAAAGAAAGAAGGTAGTTACAGAAACTCACATGTTATGTGACTCCACTTATATGAAATGTCCATAATTGGAAATAATTAGAAAATAAATTTGTCTTTACTCTCACTAGAGTGACAGCAGAAACAGGAAGTGACTACAAAGATCACGGTCTCAAGGGTCTGTACATTTTTCTAAAAACCTTTAAACTGTACACTTTAAGTGTTTCTATTGTATAGTATAATTACATCCCAACAAAGCTGTAGGGGGGAAGAAAGCAATTCTATTGAGGTTTACAGAAGAATAAAGCCAACAAGATATATATAATGTGTGTCAATGTGTATAATTATAAAGGGGGATTTATTAGAAAGGCTTACAGGTCTGCATGTTGTTTAGTCATAGAACCTGGTAGCTGCTCAATCCAAAATGCTGGATATGTCACAAGAAGGAGGACAATGGTGCAGCCCTAGTCCGATGCTGAAGCCCTTGGGAGCTCCCCAGAGATCCCTGGTGTACATCCACACTGAAAAGCTGAAGCTGCAGTCAGATATCCACGGGTGATGGCAGCAGTGATGGACCCACTCAGAAAGAGTGGAGCGTGCACGGACTGACTGACTTCCTCCTTTTTCCACTTGTATTTCTTCTAAGCATCCAGTCTGTTAGATGGTGCTAATTACAGTCAAGGTAAGTCTTTTCTTATCCCTTACTGAGTATATGTCAGTTGTCTCTGGGAACACTCACAGACATACGCAGGAGTATGCTTTACTAAGTTCTTAGGTGTCTCAATCCAATACAGTTGATGGTAAATATTAGCTATCACAGCAAGGATATACTTTACATAAAGGTGATAGGATGAGTTCCCCAATCCAAGCGTTCCTTCTCTGTTCCACATTCCCATGCCTAACACAGGTTGCACAGTGGGAACAGCCACCCAGTCAAGTGAGTTTGACTAATTCCAGATTTCTTTCTCTGCCTTCCCACACTCCCAGATTTAGCTGGAGTCGTCCGGCCCAAGCACCTGCCCAGAACTGAGCCACAGTTTCAATGGAACCACTACAAGACCATGTCCAACCTACCTGAAGCCTTCTATTCAGAAGTTGCACCCACTCCTAGTGGAACTGAAACCACTTCTTACATGCTATTCCCACATCAATACAGACTGGCTGCAAGATTGAAGCAGAACCACCACCACCCCACAAAGACCGGATCAGCTGTCAATACCAAGAAATACCACCAAAGACATAGCTCTAGATGCCTGGGTCCCATCACAAAAAGAAAAACAAAGCGTGAATAACAAAGACAATATGTCTCCTTTAGAAAGGAGCACCCCATCCCAACGATACCTGAGGAGAGAAACCTCGCTGAGGCAGAGACAATTAATTCAAAATAGCAATTATAAATATGTTCAAGAAACTCAAAGAGAAGAAGAAAAGACTGGATTGAAACCACAAACAGTTGAAGGAAATAAGCAAAATATTTCCAAGATGTGAAATTAAAATTTAATATATAGAATCTCTGAAGAAAGGCCAAACTGAAACAAAATATATGATGAAAAACTGAGAAAGTTAAAGAAAAACCTCAGAGGGATGTTGCTAAACGAGACTGAATAAAATAGAAGAGAGATTCTCAGATATCGAAGACAGGGTCAAGGAAATGGATCACTCAGTCAGAGGAAATGTTTAAAATAACCCAGGAATAGAACATACAAGACCTCTATGACACTATAAAAATTCCAAGCCTAGGAGTCAGTTGGAGTCGCGGCGGCGGGAGCGATCGGGCTGAGAAGCAGACGTGTTGCTCTTCGTAGAGGTAGCATCTAAAGGCACTGGTTTAAATCCTAATGCCAAAGTATGGCAAGAAATTCCTCCTGGAAATCCTGATGGCACTCCTGTAACTGAAAGCTCTTGGCATGAAACCTCAGCCACCTCTGGATCTCATCCTGAGGATAATACAGAACTTTCAGAAGATATGTGTAAGGAATATGAAGAAATGTATTCTCCATCTTGTGAGGCCACAAGAAATACTACAGGCATTGAAGAATCAACTGATGGAATGATTTTAGGACCTGATGATTTGAGTTACCAAATATATGCTGTTTCTGGAGAAAGCAGTTCAACAGTTTCTACAGAAGATTTAAGAGAATGTCTGAAAAAACAGAGTTCTGTTTCTCACGAGAAAATTTATCGAAGGATCTTTACTTGATATCACAATGGATAGTGATCAGTTTGTCCCAATATGGACAGTTGCCAACATGGAAGAAATAAAAAAGTTGACCACAGATCCAGATCTAATTCTTGAAGTACTAAGATCTTCTCCTATGGTACAAGTCGATGAGAATGGTGAGAAGGTGAGACCAAGTCATAAGCGTTGTATTGTAATTCTCAGAGAAATTCCTGAAACAACACCAGTAGAGGAAGTGAAAGCTTTATTTAAAAATGAAAACTGTCCCAAAGTGCTAAGCTGTGAGTTTGCACACAACAGTAACTGGTATATCACTTTCCAATCAGACACAGATGCACAGCAGGCTTTTAAATACTTACGTGAAGAAGGTAAAACATTTCAGGGCAAGCTAATCATAGCGAGGATAAAAGCCATCAATACATTCTTTGCTAAGAATGGTTATCGATTAATGGATTCTAGTATGTATACTCAACCCATTCAGACTCAAGCCCAATATCCCTCACCAGTCTTTATGCAGCCTGTGTATAACCCTCACCACCAGTACTCAGTCTGTAGTATTGTGCCTCAGTCTTGGTCTCCAAGTCCTACACCTTACTTTGAAACACCGCTGGCTCCCTTCCCTAATGGTAGTTTTGTGAATGGCTTTAATTCGCCGGGATCTTATAAAACAAATGCTGCTGCTATGAATATGAGTCGACCATTCCAAAAAACTCGTGTGAAGCCTCATTTTAGGTCATCCAGTGGTTCAGAACACTCAACAGAGGGCTCTGTGTCACTGGGGGACGGACCGTTGAACAGATCTAGTTCAAGGAACTTTCTACCTGAACGGCAGAGCTCCACAGTAACAGGTCATCAAGAACAAACATGTTCCAAAGGAGGCCCCCACTTTACAGATGGAACAAAATGGGGACTATGGTAGAGGCAGGCGAACTCTTTTCAGAGGTCGAAGATGGAGAGATGATAGGATCCCAAGACCCCCTCCTTCAACAACTGATATAAAGACTCCAACACCAAAGTTTGACTTACTAGTTTCAAATTTTCCTCCATCACCTGGAAGTTCATCAAGAATGCCAGATGAACTTGTTTTGGATAATCGAGTGTCTGATATCATTAAAACTGTCTACAAAGAAAAGGACAATGAAGACTTGAAAATTAGTTGCCCAGTATCTACAGAGGATGAACAGACAGACTGTGCATCTGCCCAGCAACTCAGTATGAGTACCAGTCCTCCGTGTGCAGCTCAGCTTCCTGCATCAAGCACAACTCAACAAGAAAAAGAGGATTCCATCATTCAGAAGAATGTTCTCAATCAGATGACAGTACCAGTTACGTCTCCAAGTACTACAAAATCATCAAGGGCAAACACTGCTTCAGCATCTAGTAATACCACAAATGTACCTGTAGTTGTGGCCCTCCAGGAACCTCGAAAGTTAAGTTATGCTGAAGTGTGCCAGAAGCCCCCTAAAGAGCCATTTCCAGTTCTTGTACAACCACTGCGGGAACTTCGCTCCAATGTCGTGTCTCCCACCAAAAATGAAGAGAATGGAGCTCCTGAAAAGTCTGTTGAGAAGCAACACACAGAAACAAGGGCTAGTAGGGATTATTCTGGCTTCCGAGGCAATACCATTCCCAGGGGAGCAGCTGGAAAAATCAGGGAACAGAGACGCCAGCTTAGCCACAGGGCTGTACCTCAGGGAGTGACTCGGCGCAATGGCAAAGAGCAGTGCATGCCGCCCAGATCACCAAAGTAAAAACACAGCAGAACTATTCAGACACTTCTTTCTTCCCACTAAACTTGAGCCTATATTGAACTGTTCTGGAGAGGAGGGAGTAGACAGGAAAGAAATGGAAAGTATGTTCTTAAATCATTATGGATTTTGGAATTGTGAGTAGTAGGATCCCAAAATTCATCTCTAAAGTGATTTTTTAAATGCTGGAGGATTTTAATCAGTATAAATATA